TGTGTCCCTCTCACATCGATGTTTCTCTCTCTCTCCCTCCCTCTCACTCTATTTGATGATAAATAGGAAAAAAATATCCTCGGGTGAGGATTAAAAAAAGACCTGTTCTTGAAATTTGTTATTATATGTTGCTTATATTAGAAGGTAAATTTTGGAGGTCTGAGTGACTAGTTGTATAAATTTTAGTAACTTAAACCCATATGGTTTTGTATTAAGTTTTCTCATGGGTAAAATGGAGACTAATACTTTACTTACAAGATTGTGAGGACATTGTCAAATTATATATATATATATCTTAATATATGCATGTACATATGTTCTGTTATTAAGATGTTGATGGAGCCCTGGCCGGTTTGGCTCAGCGGTTAGAGCGTCAGCCTGTGGTCCAGAGAGACCCGGGTTTGGTTCCCGCTAGGGGCACGTACCTCAGTTGCGGTTTGTCCCCAGCTTTGGTTGGGTCGTGGGGGTGGCGGCCACTCAATGTGTCCCTTTCACGTCGATGTTTCTCTCTCTCTCTTTCTTCCTCTCTCTCCCTCCCACTCTATCTGAACAAAAAATGGAAAAAGTGTCCTTGGGTGAGGATTAAAAAAAAAGATGTTGATAGAAATTCTGGTCCTGTTAGTCTCCGGTGGTTAACTCTCGCTGTTTATTTCTCAGAAAGCTGTTCCCTTGGGGCTAGATATCTGATTGTGCTGACTGTTCTTATCTTTCATGGCAATTTAACCCAATTTTTAATTTTGTTGTACAATGCCTGTCTTCTCCATTAGACCTTATGCTTCTTCAGGTTAGGCCCATGTCTGAAACATAGTGTACTCAGAATACTAAGTAAATAAATATTCACTGAACAAATAAAGGAATGAGCCAAATGGATATCCTCAATCAGAAGCATTTTAAATATCTCTCTGGGAAGTCTCTGAGTAGTGAGGAAGATGAAGAAAGATCATACAGGACCGCAATTTGAGGCACCATAATGTTTCCAATGACTCACTTGGCATTTCATCGCTTGATTGGCTTTCCTGTGTAGCTAACTCAATGTGTTTTTGGATATACTTGATTTTCATAATAATCTAACCAATATGAGCTGGAAAGGTTATAAATCTGCTGCTGCAAAAAATAAAAATCTTATGCCTTCCAAAGTGAAGTATATTTTATGCGTGCATTTTCTGTTTTACACTTATTTTCTGAGTAGCATAAATATTTGCACAGTCCTAGATTGGAAGTGTGTTAGAAAGGCAGGTAGCCATTAGGAAATTTTCCTTTTAATTAACTATTTTACTTTTGAATGTGTTGTTTTTATTGCCAATAAACAAATCACCCCAAATTTAGTGGATTAAAACAACACAAGTGTATTATTTTACAGTTATTTAGGCAAGGAGTCTGACATGGTCTTGAGTTAAAATTAGGGTATCGACAGGACTAGGTTCCTTTCTGGAGGCTCTAGGGGATAATATGTTGCCTTGCCTTTTCCAGATTCTAGAGGCCACCCCCATATTCCCAGTGTCTTGTCATCTTCAAAGCCAGTAATGCCTGGACCTCACATTGCATCACTTGATCTTCCAGAGCCATATTTATGGCTCTCTTCTTTCTCCTAACTTTTTACTTTTGTGATTATGTTAGGTCCACCCTGATAGTTCAGGATAATCTCCTTATTCTAAGATAATCTAATTAGTGACCTGGCAGGTTGCTCGGTGGTTAGAGCATCAGCCCTGGGACCAGAGAGTCCCGGGTTCGGTTCCCACTAAGGGCATGTACCTCAGTTACAGTTTATCACTGGCCCCGGATGGGGTCGTGTGGGTGGCAACCAGTCAATGTGTCTCTCTCACATTGATGTTTTTCTCTCTCTTTCTTCCTTCCTCTCTCCCTCCCACTCTATCTGAAGAGAAATGCAAAAAAAAAAAAAAAAAAAAAGAGGATAATCTGATTAGCGCCCTTAATGCCATCTGCAACCTTGATTCCCCTGTGCCACGTAACCTAGCATATTCATAGGTTTTGGGCATTAGAATGTAGACACCTTTGGGGGGCCGTTTTTCTGACAACCACATGGAATAATTTTAGATTTCCAGAAGAGTTGCAAGGTATAGAGAGTTCCTTTATATCTTTCACCCAGTTTCCCTTAATGTCTATATCTTATATAACCATGGCATATTTGTCAAAACTAGGAAATTAACATTGGTACAATTGCCTTAATTAAAGTTCAGATTTCATTGGGATTTCATCAGTTTCCCCATTATTGTCTTTTTTTGGTTCTGATCCAATCCAGTATACTATTATTGCATTTAGTGGGAGGGTTTTCATGGCTTTTCTATTAGTGTTTCTGCACTAACTGGACACTAAAATGTCAAGTCAGTCAAAGTTATCATGATACTTGTGTAGGCAGTATTGAAATTTGGTGACTAAGGATAATACTTTGCACATTAGCTGTATGATTGTATTTGAAGGACTGCTACTCCAAAGCATATTATAAAAACCATTCCTAATTTTACTCTTTCTTTGATTTATGACATTTGCTTAGGAACACTGGTGAGGCCTTTATTTTATTTCAAGCCATCCAAAAAAGACAAACGGGAGGAGATGTTAAATGTCACTAACAGGACTGTCTCAAAGCAGAATAAGTGGCTTCTTGATCTGTAAAGCCAATTCTGAAGAGATGTTCACATTGTTGCTAGGACATTTTAGAGTAGGTAGCCTGTGTAATTTTGGTACAGGCAAAATTACAAAGTACTTTTGTTCAGTGTTTTGCAGGTGGTTCCCTGGGGAGTGAAAAGTTGCAGCTTCCTGGTGAAGCTGCCCAAAGCACATGCCTATAATATATGGCTTCCCCCCTTTGCTCCTTTCCTATTATTAATAACTAGCTAATTACAATGGTTTTCCCTATATTGCCACCCACACGACCCCAACCAGGGACGGGGACAAACTGCAACCAAGATACATGCCCTTAGTGGGAACTGAACCCTAGACTCTCTGGTCTCAGGCCCGATGCTCTAACAGCTGAGCCAAACCAGCCAGGGCTCTTTTTGCTACATTTTAAAATAAAATTCTATATGTAATTCATATTCATTGTAGAATAATTAGAGAACATATAGGGAAAAACTAATTTTTGTTTTTTATCCTCACCGAGGGCATTTCTACATAGAGTGAGAAGGAGAGAGAGAGGAAGAGAGAGAAACATGGATGTGAGAGAGACACATGGACTGCTTGCCACCCACATGACCCCAACCAGGGCCAGGGACAAACTGCAACCGAGGTACGTGCACTTAGTGGATCTGAACCTGGGATCTCTGGTCCGCGGGCCCACGCTCTAACTGCTGAGCCAAACCTGCCAGGGTGGAAAAAACTAATTTTAATCATGCATGATCTCATTCCCTAAAGTTAATAATTGTTAATATTATTTTAGCCTTTTGCCCTGGCCAGTTTGGCTCAGCGGTTAGAGCATCGGCCTGCGGTCCAGAGAGACCCGGGTTCGGTTCCCGCTAAGGGCACGTACTTCGGTTGCAGTTTGTCCCTGGCCCTGGTTGGTCGTGCGGGTGGCAGCCACTCGATGTGTCCCTTCACATCGATGTTTCTCTCTCTCTCTCCCTTCTTCTCTCTCCCTCCCGCTCTATCTGTACAAAAAATGGAAAAATATCCTCGGGTAAAGATAAAAAAAAAAAAATTATTTTAGCCTTTTCCCTTCCTGGGGGTATGTATGTAGGTAGTGTAAGTATAATCTACTTACAAAAATTGTTTAAGCCCTGGCCGGTTTGGTTCAGCGGTTAGAGCATTGGCCTGCGGTTCTGAGAGACCCGGGTTCGGTTCCCGCTAAGGGCACGTACCTCAGTTGCAGTTTGTCCCTGGCCCTGGTTGGGTCATGCGGGTGGCAACCACTTGATGTGTTCCCTTCACGTCGATGTTTCTTTCTCTCTCTCTCTTCCTCGCTCTCCCTCCCACTCTATCTGAACAAAAAATGGAAAAAAAATTGTTTAAAACTATACATACACTATGTATCATGAACATGTTTCCGTAGCATTCTTCACAATGACTGCATAGCAAAGGCACACCTCTTTTTAGCCAGGCTCTTAGTTATCTTGCGTTTTAATATACTTTCCTGCAATAATTCTGCAGACTCACGCAACTTAATTGGCAACGTGTGCTGAAAAAGTATATAAGATCTCTATAGTACTTTTCAGAGTACATTGGAACATATTGACTGTATAAAGGAAATAACAGTGATATCTGTCTCATAGCGTTATTTGGAGAAATAAACAAGTGCATAGTACATAGCACATAGGAAACAGCCTATAATGAGTTAATTATTATTACCGATATTGTCAATAGTCCAGTATGGAAAGTATCATCATCATCTTGCATATTTTTTAGATGAGGAAACTGGCTGGGAGAGAAGTGTTACAATAGCTCAAGGACGTCAACCTGGTAACCTTCGCTCATTTAACTTCGAATTCCATGCTTTTGGTGTTGCAGGTTATGGCATTGTAGTCCTTCTTACAGGACTTGTCCTTTCTGACAACACTGCAGTTTCAGGTCTGTTAACTGCCTGCATCAAAAGTTATTTTCTGAAAGTTAGCCTTCTAAGGTTTTGAAAAGAACAAAGATAAAAAATTTAATAATAGATAAAACGATAAAAAATTATTTTCCTATTCCCCAACTCTTCAGAGCCCTACAAGGAATTGCTTGACTTCGGGATGATTATTCGGTTGGAATGAACAGGAGAGTTAATAAAGCTAAGCCATCAGAATAAGTGGTGTAGTGTAACTAAGGATTCCAAGACCGTGGAGGAAAGGCCCTAGCCACTGCCGGATTTTGCCACGTCGCTTTGCGGTTGTCTTGGAGGCGCTAGGAGGGTGGAGAACCGCCCAACGCCCGAGGACTACATTTCCCAGAAGTCCGCGCGCCACGTGCCACGTGCCACGTGATCGCCGGCTGGAGCCCGCCCGGCCGTTCGGTTCCTAGCTGCGTTCTCTGTCGCTTCCCTCTTCTCTCTCAGCCTCCGGGCCTTCGCACTGACGCGGCGCGGGCGGGAGCCGAGCCGGAGCTGAGCCGGAGTCGGAGCCGGAGTCAGAGCCGGAGTCGCAAAGACGCGGAAACATGGAGGCCTGAGCCGGCGGCCACCGCGGCTTCTCCTGTTCCCCCTCTGCCGCCCGCTTGTCCGTGAGCTGGAAGCGGATCTGCCCGCCGGCTGAGACAGGTGGGCTGGGAGATCCGCCGGGCCCCCTGCTCCGTGTCCGAGCGGGTTGGCAGACGCCCTCTCCTCCCCTCCCCCGGCCAGTGTCCGGAGCGGAGGGGCAGCGCCGCCGCGGAGGCGGAGGAGGGACCCCTCCTGCCAGTGCGGGACGGGGCCGCCGGGAGGCTGAGCCTGCGCCGCGAGCTCCCTCCCCGCCAGGACACCGCGGCTCTTCGGGCCGAGCGGCCGGGGGTGCGTGGCCGGGGAGTGAGGGAGCGCGGCCGCAGGCTGGTGTTGGGAGGAACCCGAGAGCCCGGCGGCCGTTCGGGAGACTGGGCGTTGTTGGTCTGACAGATGGGGGTGTGGTGGGCGGGGCGGGCCGTCGTGTTGTGTGTCTTTTTTGACGTGTCCATTTTTATTGAGATGCAGTTCACATGCCATACAGCTCACGTTTAAAAGTACAGTCGAAGTGTACACCTCAGTGGTTATTCGCAGGGTTGTGGAACTCATTCCGCAACGTTTCTATCACCCCGAAAAGAAGCCCGTACCCAGTGGCAGTGACGCCTTCTCCCCCTTTCCGTCCTCTGACACCTAACAGTTGTGCTTTAACTGGTTAGCTCAAGTGTCTGTGAGCGGGGCAGTAGTGGGGATCGAGGGGACTGGCGGTGAAGCCGACGGGTAGAAAGTTCTGAAAGGGGCAGGAAAGTGGTGGGGTGAATGCGACAGGGTAGGCTGGCGGGGGGCGTTGGGAGTGCGAGCCCTGAAAGGGGAGGAGGGAGGTTGGAGGGAGAGGTGTGTGGCCAGAAGGCGCTCTGCTGAAAGATGAAAAAGGGGGGGTTGGGGTGGGGGTGGAGGCGGTGGAGAGCAGGGGAACCTTGCAGGGGAACCAGGCGTCTGGGCTGACGAGGGCTCAGGAGAGGAAGCTGGAGGTGGAAGGGAAGAGAATCTACAGGAACAGGTGAATGGTTGCTGCTGAGCGTGAAGTTTATGTAGATTTCTGGAATGATCATCCTGCGTTGTAGTTTTTATATTATGTAATCCTCCCAACAACTCAGATAGACTGGGCAAGTATAAGTATTTCCATGCTGCAGGTGAAGAACCCGTCTTTTAGGGGTTAGGTGACTTGCTGAAACTCATAAGGTTAGTAAATAGGGGAGAGTGAAGTGGGGATTAAAGAATAATTGAGGAAATTGTCAGTTGCAGGTGGATTAAATGGCAGAGAATTGAGGTCGGGCAATGTTACAGGAAGGAGATTCAACTATTAAATATATTAAGTCTATATTATTATGACCGGTCAAAGACTTTGTTCTTGTACCCTTTAAATATAGAAAAGTTTAAATAGTGGAATAATATACCCCATCTACCAATTCCTCAGCTCCAACAATTAGTAACTCAGGCTAATTTAGTTTTATCTATAACCCCTATCATTGTATCCCTGCTCCCAATTATTAAGAAACATTTTTTTTCTTTATTGATGTTAGAAAGAGAGGAAGAGAGAGAGAGATGGAAACATCCATGAGAGAGAACATCGATTAGCCGCCTCCTGCATGTCCCCCACTGAGGGTTTGGCCCACAATTTGGGCATGTGCCCTGATTGGGAATCGAACAGGCAACCTCTTGGTGCATACTCCCAATTATTTTAAGCAGATTATAGGCATACCATTTCATTGGTAAATATTTGAGTATACTGTGTATTCTGTAGAGATTGACTCACTCTTTTTTTAATAGACCCGCAAACCATTATCACACCTAAAAATTGATAGTAAGCTCTTAATATCATCAATATTTAGGACTTACTTTTAAAACGTTGTATCCATTTTACACAAGGTGAATAAGCAATGTAAACACTTTGATGTTGGACTCTTTGAAAAATAAGGTTTTCCTGATTTTTCCAGTTGATTCTGCCATTCTGTTTTTTTGGTTAATATGGTTTGTCCGTCTACAAAAAGTTTGAAGAATTGTCTCTTTGGCTGGCTTTTTATGGATGGAGTTTTGTGAGGGCAGAGAAAAATAGTAGAATTGAAATATACCACGCCATGCACAAATAACTGTTATGTCTCATAATGATCTAAATATTTAGACAATTTGATTATGCTTGCCTCTGGATAATTTTACATACTGTTCAAAGTTGTTTAATATGTGTATATTAATTTTCTGGGACTATTCTAACAAGTACCACAAATTTAGTGGCTTAATAAAAAACAGGTTTATTATTTTAAAGTTCTTATTTTAGAAGTTTAAAATGGGCCTCACTGGGCTAAATCAGTGTGTCAGCTAGGATGTACCTTTTTGGAAGTTTCTAGGGGGAGAATCTGTTTCCTTGTCTCTTCCAGCTTCTAGAAGCTGCCACATGCTTTGGCTTGTGCCTTCCTTTCTCCTTCAAAGCCAACAACCTTGTATCTCTGATCATTCTTCTGAAGTCAGTTTCAGATCATAGCTGGGAAAGGTTCTCCACTTTTAAGGACCTGAGTGATTAGATCAGTTCCACCTGGATAATTCAGGATCATTTCCTCCATTTCAAGGTCCTTAATTATAACTGCGAAGTCACTTTACCATTTAAGATAACAGAATCACAAGTTCCATGGATTAGGATGTAGCTATCTTTGGGGACTATTTTTCTGCCTATCACAGTGTGTTTTGGGATGGTTTACTGAGACTTAAGAAAATAGATGAGTCCTGGTCGGTTTGGCTCAGTGGTTAGAGCATCGGCCTGCGGACTGGAGAGTCCCGGGTTCGGTTCCCGACAAGGGCACATACCTTGGTTGCAGTTTGTCCCCGGCCCTGGTTGGGTCGTGTGGGTGGCAACCAGTCGATGTGTCTCTTTCACATTGATGTTTCTCTCTGTCTCTTCCTCCCTCTCTCCTTCCTGCTCTATCTGAAGATAAATGCAAACATGTCCTCAGGTGAGGATAAAAGAAAAAGAAAATAGGTGATTTTCTTTGCTGGTACAAATGCAATGTGTCATCTTTCACTTTGTAGGTAATGGGAGTGGTTAGAGCTAGAGAGGACCGTTGCATTTTCCATTTTAGTGACTAAACAAACATGAAAAATACCTGTGACACTTGTGTAGGCTTTGGTAAAATGAAACCTTTAAAAGTGGTTAAATATGCCAGGCTGGTGTGGCTCAGTGGTTGAGCATTGACCCCTGCACCAAGAGGTTGCCGGTTTGATTTCCAGTCAGGGCACATGCCCAGGTGGCATGCGGGAGGCAGCCAATTGATGTTCCTTTTCATCGATGTTTCTCTCTCTCTCTCTCCCTCTCCCCTCTCTCTCTAAAAAGCAATAAAGGAAAAAAAAGGTTAAATATAAAAGCATTGTAACAGCATGTAAAGTTTTTCTGTACTTTGTTTTGCTTTCTCTTTTTTTTGGGAGGGAGAGAGAGGAAGAGAGAGAGAGAGAAACATCGACGTGAAAGAGACACATCGAGTGGCTGCCACCCACATGATTGACCAGGGCCGGGGGACAAACTGCAACCAAGGTACATGCCCTTAGCAGGAACCAAACCCGGGTCTCTCTGGACCACAGGCCAATGCTCTAACCGCTGAGCCAAACTGGCCAGGGCTTTTTAAAATATGTTTTTATTGATTTTTTTTTTTTTTTTTAGAGGGAGAGAGAGAAACATCATTTGGCTGCCTCCTGCCCATCCCCCTACCGGGGTTCAAGCCCACAACCTGGGCACATGACACTCAATTCACTGAGCCACACCGGCCAGGTTCTTTTGTTCTCTTTTTATTTTTTTATTCTCACCCAAGGACATTTTTCCATTTTTTGTTCAGGTAGAGTGGGAGGGAGAGAGAGGAAGAGAGAGAGAGAGAGAGAGAGAAATATCGTCGTGAAAGGGACACATTGAGTGGCTGCCACCCGCACAACCAACCAGGGCCGGGGGACAAACTGCAACTAAGGTACACGCTCTTAGGGGGAACTGAACCCGGATCTCTCTGGACTGCAGGCCGACGCTCTAACCACTGAGAAAACCGGCCAGGGCTTTATTTATTTATTTTTTATATTTTTAATTCTTACCCGAGGATATTTTTCAATTTTTTTAAATTGATTTTAGAGAGAGAGGGAGAGGGAGAGAGAGAGAGAAACATCAATGACAGAGAACATTGATTGGCTGCCTTCTGCATGCCCCCAACTGGGGTTTTGGCCCACAACCTGGGCAGGTGACCTGATCAGGAATCAAACAAGTGACCTCTTGGTGCATGGGTCGACGCTCAATCAATGAGCCACACCAGCCGGGCACAAGTATAAAATACTTTAAAAACATGAATATTGAAAAGAGACCAAAACAGCCCGCTGGTGTGGCTCAGCAGTTAAACGTTGACCCATGCACCAAGAGGTCGCCGGTTGGATTCCTGGTCAGGGCACATGCCCAGGTTGTGGGCCAAATCTCCAGTGGGGGGCATGCAGGAGGGGGACAATCGATGTTCTCTCTATTGATGTTTCTATCTCTCCCTCTATCTCTAAAACTCAGTAAAGAAAAAAAAAAAATTAAAAAAGTACTTTATACCTGTAATCAGAGTGTGTATAATGCTCAGTTGCTACTTGAAGTCACAGGACATTCTGGGACAGTGATGATTCCCTTGCCCAGAGTGAGCAGGCAGGTGCATTTTGTCCCATTAGGTGATAGAGGCATCCTCAATTCAACAGGAGGCTCTTAAAGTGAGAGAAAACTTTTCAGGAAGATGAATGACTGTGAGACTTGGGCTTGAAGCCCCTTCTAGAATTTTCCTTCTGTGACTCAGCTGGGCAAGATTGAGTGCTGCTGGCCTGAAAAGCTCATGGCCAAAGATGGCTGTTACTGCTCTTCCCTTTCCAGGACTGCGAGAAGACTGAATCTTAGAAGTGGAAAGGCTTTTAGGAAGGCCTCTAGTTTAGTATCTTGTTTCCTGAGGGGGTTCTACTTTCCAACTTCACTCTCCAGGTCTTGACTGTCTCAGGGTGTGAAGGTCCTGACCTTTTGATGGTGATGTGTTTTAGCATCACTTATCAGTAAGTGTAATAGGAATTGCTAAACTTAAAGG